AACAGGTTGGGTTTTTTTCCTTTTGTGTTTAACAGCATACTCTGTATAAATAAACAATTATGAAAGGGATATTAAATGGCATCTATACAGTTATGTACGAAAGCAACTGCAGCCTAAACTAATGCCAAAGGGTAACGACAACCTAATTGGCTTGGCTTGTTTGGCACATCATAAATGTTTTTACAGTTGTTCTTAGCAGATGAAGAGTCAGAAAACAAATTTCTGCAAGTTGTGGAGAAATTACTGTAAAATAGTAAAACACAGCCTGTTAAAGCCTTCCTAAAATTGGTTCCATATTCTACCATCTGTAATGTTAACATTTCAGAAGACATTCCTCTGAGCTGTAAATGCTATTTGTCTGATGGACAGGCTTCTTTCTCTTATACTTACATTACATTTCAACAAACACACTACTATATGACAGTTGTTAAAAATTACATTCTTCAAGAAGTGAGTTAACTTTTCCAACGTGAATACTAAAAACATTATGGAATATATAGGATCCATTCTTTTGTTTCTTAAGGATTTAGCGTTAAACAAAGAAAGGATCAGTGCAACTTCTATGAAATGTTACCTTGTGAAGCAAAAGCCTGTGTCACAGAAACAAAGAGCAGTGACCCATCCCTCTAACTTGCTGATTATGCAGGACAAGTTCCACAAATTTACTGCTTACTTTTCTAGATGTAACCTGTTCAAAAAACTAACGATTGTGTTAAAATCTGTGAAACTGAAAAGGACATAAAGGAAAAGGGTATTAACAGCAGTAACACAGATTGCTGAAGCAGAGCTAGAGGTAATTTTGTTGCCAAGGAACAATCAGCACGTAGAAAACATGCTTTTCTAAACACAAGCTATACACACCTCAAAAATAACAGAATAAGCAACCAGCATTACTTGATCTGCATCCTTTGAGAGAATACACACTGTGCAACCATTGGCTCCCTTGAACATTTCTTTTAACTGTGTAAAAATTCAGAAGGTGTTAACATAAGGACCTTTATTGATGGGACATCCTAGATTATCTTCAAAACTGTTTTGCTACAGATTGGAAAAGCAGTGTGAATTGCACAGAACACAGGAAGAAAGTGGAAATATATGCTGTAAACTTCTTCACTACTAAATCTTTTCTGGTGACCTTAGACAATGGGGTTCATTTTCATGACTCAGTAGCCCTGGAGGTACTCTCAGGAGACTTTAAGGAAAAGACAGTATTGTTGGATACCACATAGTGCTATATACAACGGCTGAGAGGTTTTTCCTTTAAAGGCAGACAGTGTCATACCACTCTGCACAACTTTCCCAGAAAAGGAAGACCAATTTGTTTTTCTCCATTTTCAGCCATTTTCTGTGTCCTAGGGGAGTTCTAACTAAACAGAGGGAGAAAATAACTGGAGAAAAGATTGAAAATGAGAGTAACAGCTAAATACTAATTGCATTCATCATAAATAAAGAAGCTAACTGGAATCTTAAGATAAAAACTTGGCACTCATGAATTTTGGCATAGAAATTCTTCTGTCCTGATGGTTGTTTATATCAGTTCAAGCATGTGTTAAGTAATAGCAGTATTTAAAAAACTGCATTCAATTAAGATAAACTTCATACACTTTAAAATATCAGTTGATGATAATTGAAACCAGTTATAGTTACAATACATTGATTTTTACTACTATTCTATAGCATATTGTGTCCCCACGCCTTACAGCTAGCAGGGGCATTTTATGGGCATCTAATTTAAAGAATTCAGGAGGAAGTCCTTTTGGGACAATACATTTACGTGTCAGTAATCTATGTATATTTGATGAAAAATAATTTTATCTTCCTTGAAATCCAATCATTTCTACCTACACAACTGATCTGCAAAATTCAAGTTTTATTTGGTCATCATTGGGGAATCCAGTTTTACTCTGGGTATATTCATTTGAGAGTGCCAGATAATCTTAAAACCACAGACAAAGCTCATCAATTTGACTGAACATAGAAATTGTTTCTAATATTCTGATACTCTTAAGTATACCTAATAGCTCAACAGCCAAGAAAAAACAATCTTCTTGAAATTAATATTGTTTGTCATTACTATGAAAATCCACAGTGTATCTCAAACTGTTATCTTTTGTGCTTCAGTTTTATGTTTAAAGTAAAATTTAATTATTCTAAAGGGCTCACATTTATCAGCTCTGTGGCTAAATTCCTGAGCAATTCAGGGATTATTTAAACAAATTGAGCTCCTGAGCTTGAGATTTGCCCATGAGATAAAAAAGTGTCTGTTTTCAATTTGAAATTGGTACATGGCATACATGCCATTCAGAAGGCAATAAAATCTGCCACTGCACAATCATTACAGACCTGTGGATAAAGAAAGAAAAGGATATCATTTGATTAGCCTCCAACTTTATTAATTTAACTCATCTGGGAACTATCCAGCAATAATTCTTCCAATGAAGGTCATAATTCTTTAATTGTTTCCACCTGGTACAGTACTGCCATCAATCCCCTCTTCTTCTCCACCCCTCCGTACTTGGCTCTCAGCCCATCACTCGTGCCTTCCCAGTCTACCCTTGTTACTAGCATTAAAGGGCAAAGAGGTTTGGTTTTTTGGTTGTGTCAGATCACAGAACCTCCAGCTTTGCTTCCTCCATTGCTGGATGCTTTCCCTATATTCAGTCCCTGTTCCTGTTTATCCCTTCTGAGAATCAATTCCTGCCTTGCTGCTGCTACAGTCTGACATGCTGAGCTTTTCCTCATAACCCGCCCCACCTTGAGATTCTGCAAAGTTGAAAATTAGGAACAACCCTGACTTTTCTAATTCCTTCTCCCCTTTCCTACTCCTTTCATACTCTTCCCTATACATCAAAAAACATGCCCCCCTGCCCCAAAATCTCAAACAGGCAATGAAACTCCTTTAGCAGACAAAAATTGTTACTAACAAATTAATGTACAAACCAGAAAGTTAAGGCCTACTAACTCACGCATTCAAAGACACTCACACTACAAAGTCAAGATTTGTATACTTAAGTAAACTCCATTTATTAGCATGCTAATCCAGTTCATGCCTTGCCATGCTCACAGGTACCCCGAGGAGAAAAGGGGAACTGTAGAACCCTTAAAGAAGTTAATCTGGACAAAGATCATCTCTTTCTTCCCTTCCCAACGCGTTGCTTTTATGATTGCAGCAACTTCATTTTGGAGAGTCAGATTAAATCTGTAAACACTCTATTACTGGTCGTTTCTCCCTGACAAAGTTGTACCATGTTTCCTCATTAGGGTGTGGATCATGAATGGTGTTTTAATTTTGAAACATAAACACAGTTTGCACACTAGTAAGCATACAAACTGTGTAATAAACAGGTAGTGTTAGGGCAGTAAGCAGTAAACATTTTTGGAGAAAACTTAATTTGTATTTTCAATCAGAATAGGTAAGAGTGATTAGTAATGGTGGTAAATCTATTTATCCAGGAACACAGACTTGGCTAGACAGCAAATTTTGTATTAGTGGGATAGCATTTCAATATTTATCGATTTATGTCTAAAATAAATGAGAATATGTTCTATTGCTCTTGAGGTGGATGACATGAGATTTTAATATCCTGTTTAATGTCAAGTTAGAAAATTAGATTCTTCCTTAACCTTTGAGTTTTAGTTGTGAAAAGACTGATGGTTCAGGACCTCACAGTGTTTGAAGATATACCATCTATTCAAATGAAAAGGGCTGACATCCCCAGGGCTGGCAAAATCCTCAGCTGTTTATGGGAAAAATATTTCCTGCCTATTGTGTTTTGAAGACAGCTCAATAATTTTGAATGAATTCATGTAAAGCTATCTGTACGTATTTTTTTAGGTATGCTAAAGAAAGTAAAAGCCTGAGTAGCGTTGCTAATGACATTTATCTGGTGTGATAGATTACATAAAAAGAAGACATATAGGGGAGAAATGGGTCCTATCAGAAAGGACAACAAAAACCATTAGACTGGGAACTTCATGTTTTGGGACAAATTCATTGCACTTCCCTTGCACTTACACTACTGCTGAAGGGAAAAGTGTTACCTACCCATGTGAAAAGCCATTCTTCTCTACCTATAATTTGAAGTAAAAAAGAATCATATATTTATAAAACAAAGATCCCACACTGCCTATTGCTTAAGCAAATTTGACACATCAGTAGTTCAAAAATAATAGATTATCCTGTTGCTTCTTTCTGGAAAATTTGCACATGCTACCTGTCAGCAAATTGGTTTAAGATTTAAGAGACTGAATAATAATTACTCTGTGATTATTCTTCAACATTCAATGCCTTCTGGAAACCATATTGCAGATCATCCTCTTAAGATGCTAAATATCTTCCTAAGATAGCTTTGACATCCATGAGTCTTAGCAAAATCCTTCTAGCAAAAGATTGTCTTTCACTTCAGTTTGTTTATTTTGATTCATTGAATATACCACATTTTCAGCTCAGAGCAAGAAGATGAATGGAAATAAACTATGACACATTTGCAATAAGATTTTTGTGGCAAAGACCTTTACTTAGATATTGTGGTTTCAGTGCAACCACAAAACAATGACAAACTTCCTTTGTAAAGGGCAGATGTAATTGTAGAGGTAAAAATTATAGCTCCATGAAAAAAAAAAAAAAACACCCAAAATGTTGCAGACACAATATCTACTGTACATCTGGATGTGGTTGTATTCCCAACTAAATAATTCCTATTATTGGTGAATAGATTTACACTTTTTATCTCTCCATAACATGCAGCATTTATTTACCCTTACGTTTTGAGGCATTACAGTTTCTGCTGACATGGGTATTTTCCCAAAATAGAACATTACAGCAGTTCTCTGCTAGACATTTAAGCCATGTGCATGTTTATTTTTTAATTTGTTTCTTGAACTTTCTAATTGTGAGCAGGCTGGGAAAGTGGAGTCATGACAAGTGAGAGTTTGCTGTTAAAAAAAAAAGGAGAAATGTAGGCATTTGATGTAACATTGAAAAATTCACGGCCTCCTACCTTGAAAACAAACATTTCCCGGCGAAGAATAGCCAGAGTGTTGAAGTTCCCATCACAGATGTTAGGCTTGGCTCCGGGATAGGAAGGTTTGTCACCAGTGGGTGGCCGGGGAGGTTTAGGTTGCCTGTCATTCTTCCGCGGGTCTGCTGGAGGGATTGAACGATGTGGGGGCACTGTTGGCAGAGGTCTCGTTGGTGGTGGGATCCTGTCAGGTGGACCTTTAAAAATATAGCAGCAGGATGTAATTTAAATGCCCACCAGTGGCACTCCAAGAAGAAATACAACAAAAACCTGGTGTAAGCAGTGCAAATCCTACAGTAGAAGGGGAATGGAAAAAGTGACCTAACATACCTTTCCCATGTTGTTAAAGGGGAAGGGAAAGTCATAACAAATGACTACCATAAAACCAAGGCACAAATGAAGAAAATAATTACTTTTCACTATCCAGAATCTTCCTTCCTTATTGGAATAACGTTTCAATAAAACCTGCAAAGGATGCATAGTCCACCATCATTTCAGATGAGAAGTAATTCATAGCACATACTCTATCAACTTAGTAAGAATTGTTAAAACAGAATCACTGTCTATTGTACAAAATAAAGGAAAACAAAACACCTGTTCCTAATAAGATCATCAGGACTCAATGGATATTCGACCCATATTTTTAGCTTCCACTTACAAATTCACATATGCATATGTGCATATGTAGCATACCTGATATTTTCTACTGACCCAATTTGTAGGCCAAGTAATGTCATGTTCATTAGTGACAGAACATTCCCAGTTTTCCCCAGTGCCCCTTGTTATGTATAGGAGTTCTTGAAAATGGATTTCAAATCCTAGGCGTCCATGTAAACAAAACCATAATTCACACGTTTTCTTCAATATTCTGAAATTAATTACTTCTTATTTTAATTTCTATTTTCCAGTGAATCTTACAAAGCTAGATACCTGGGAATTAAAGGAAATGTTCTGAGGATAAATATATTAAAAAGAACTAAAGTAAAAAATTAAAACTCTGTACAGCAGTTTTAAAATATTTTTCTCCTTTCAAATACATTTTCTGTCATAGTATACAGAGTTTGAGGACAGGTTGAATAACTATCTCAATCATAATTTCTCTACCTGAAAGGCAAAAGGCCATCCTAGACAGATGCTTGTTCATAACCCTAATGGCATACTTGAATTACTTGCAATGGGTGTACTGAAAATGCCTTTCCCTTTCTACATGTATTACTACATTTATTTATATTTTCCATGTACAAAAAAATAAGAATTTTCACTTGGATTAGTGAGATTTCTGGAAACAAGATGAACACTTCAATTTTGCTCATTCTATTTAGACTTCTCTCCAAATCATTTAAATACGTACTCAATTTTGACTTTAAAAAATAGATATCATTTGCATGACCAGCTTCACGAGGACTTCTGAACAGTAAGACAACTTTAAAGCTGCATAAATGACATTTGAGTTTCTGATACTTTTTCAAAAAAAGGATACTTTTCTAAGAACAAAATTAACTATGTAAGGAAATATTAAACTCACCAAATGGTTGTCGTACAATTTAATAAGGCATTTATTTAATTTACAATTTTAAGGTTTGTGACATTTATAATTTACAGTTAATAATGGTGTTTCAAGGAATACTGCAGACCAGAGTAATTATTTTAATAGGTGTCACATTTTTATTGAGGCATATGATTCCAGATCACCTCTTGATTTTAAAGGGAGAAAAGGAATCAGTTTGCAGTAGCTCATGTTGGAAAGTTTTTAATCCCAAACCAAAGTTTTCATATTCCATTTGGTGGTGATGTCAGATATTACTTCCCAGGGGTAACACATTTCTCCTAATGTATAGCCCACAGCTGTTAGAGCTTAGCAGTTAGTTTTCAGCAAAATATTCTTGTCTAGCCCTTAAGTCTAGACTACTACCTTATGAGGTCATGAGAAACAACCCTCCTTCCAGCTAATCACACAGGAAAAATACCAACCAAACAAAACTAGATTGGCCAATCATTTTGAAATGACTATTTATGCTTTATGAAGATATATATCAGCGCTTGTTAATATAATAATTTAAAAAGCTTGTTAATGCATAACACCATGGAGGCTGCAGAGCTCTAGTTAGCAGTACAGTAATTCTACATGATCATAATTGTCCTTTCTAATAGTGAACATAAACAAGGAAAGGCCCTGACAATATTCAATATAAACCTGACAAACCTTTAAGCTGAAAATAATTGTGAGTACAAAATTGAATCCAATACAGAATTAAGTGGGGAATACTAAGCAAGGTAATTCCAAATTAAATATACTGGATACACAGCGTTAATGTACAGATACCATATATTTTTCAGTGTAGGAAGGAAAAATAGATAATATTTTTAAAGAAAAAAAAAACAGTATTTAAGAGATAACAACAGAATCAAAGTCTTTAAAACCAAGAACAAAACCATGTAAGGAACAGTAATATGGGAATTAGTGTTACATTCAACCCACAATCAGAATAATGTTATTGTTTTGCTTTTTTTTTTTTTTTTAATTTTCAACTATCTTGCCTTGTCAAATTGAATTCGGTGCAGAATTTATTTACATCACATGTGTCTTTTGTATCAGGCCACAAAAACACTAAACAAACACATTTTGAAGAATTGGGCCTTTTTCCCCATAGGTAGCTCAAAATCTTGGGCTGGTAATAACATTCTTTTGAGATCAATGTGCTATATTGGTCACAAAAAAGGGTTTTTCTGGAACCACAAATTTTGTACAGCCAGGGAACTGTTTAGTATTACAACCAATAAATTGAGAAGAAATCAATTTATCCAGTTACACAAACTCTGACTACTGTGGAAATAAGCTCATTATGCTTAAAGGCCTGCATTTTTAAATATTTTCATAGTCTGAGTTCCTTTTGCAGACATTTTCTTTATGGCTTTTTAAAACATTCAAAATTACTATTCCAGCTGAGTGCAAATTTGAATGCAAGTTGTGAACAGTGAGAAACAAAGTAAAAGAGCTTCATCAAAATCTTTGGCCTACTCACAAGAAGGCCTCTGGCATAACAACTGGCAATCTACACTAACAAACTCTCTTGGAGAGGTGGTATGGACAGGAGGACCTCAAACGTATTCTAAAGCAAAAAACCTGTGTTGCTTAATCAAACTATGACATACCATATATCTTCTGGATGCCCTGTAAATCATCATTAGGTAGTTTGAAGTTGTCAGTTTCCATATACTGGTAAAATGGAGCCATGATTGCAGTGGGATCATTAGAGTGCTCCAAGCCCAGAGCATGTCCCAGTTCATGCACTGCAACTAGAAAAAGATCATTTCCTGTGAAGAGAAGAAAGGGAAAAAAGACCTTTGAAACCATAAGCATACTAACAGAAATAACACAAGTAGGGGACTCTGCACTTGAAAGACATTTTCACTGAATTTGAATTTTACAAGGTAATGCTTAATAATGAATCGTAAGGATAATGTGGTAGCAAAGGCGTCTTTCCCTTTTTTTGAATGAGGAAACCGTTATTTTTACATATAACATATGATACCCTTACAGATACCATAAGAGTAATCTTTTTTAACTGATGCACATGGTTAGTGTAGGGTTTAAGTGTCATAACTCATGTCTAGGCTTGTGTGCAATTTCTGACTTGAAGTTGATGTTGCAGTGAACCTGACTAAAAATTCTTGCATCAAGACGTAGGAAAATATCCTTGCTCTGTGTGGTAAACTTCACAAACCAAGGACTTCCTATTTAGGACAAACCTCATAAGGAACTTAGTCATCCAAGCGCTTGTAATCAGACCTCTGATGATTTTTTGTAGATGTCGTCCATTTCTGAATCACCATAACTGAAATCCTAATGAGGAAAATATGGGTCTTGTGCTATCTTTCTCCAAATGGGATGCCATTATGTATTTCATTGTATAATTCCCTTATAAGTGTAGTTGCTTACTTAAGTATTAGAACTTTTTGATTTTAGTAGGTCTAAAAAAGAAAATAACACACTCTATAAACTGATATAACTTTTTTGTTATTTGCTTCTAATAATCATCTTTTCACTTTTTATTACCGGGTATTAGACACAACTAGAAGTTTTGGCAGTAGAATTATGGCACTCTGTGAGGCAAACAAAAATCAAAGCCAATGGGATTATTTCTATAAACATTTCAGAGCTGGACTTCTGTGGTGTTAATTTTGTCTATTTTTATTCATCTAAAACTTAGTTCAGTATATCTTTCTATGAGTCTTTTGTACAGATTCTGTCTGTAGTCAACCTGTAATATAATGAGAATTTGGAAAAATGTTTTACATCAGAAGAAAGATGCTAGTCACTTGGAGAAGGTCACATCCAGGATATTGCTCATTTTCACTACCTAGGGATGGGAAGAATCATCCTCCAGAAGTGTGTTCCTGTCGCATTGAGAAATGTTCTAGATCAGCATCTTATGCTGAACATCTAACTTTTAGATGGCTGGACTCAAGTGAAACAGGTGCCACCTACAGTAGGTAGTTTCTTGTTGAAAGAGCAGTATAAATAACTAAAGGCCTATTCTGTGGCCTAATAGACAGTTGTATACTGGAACAAGAAAATGTTCAACATATTAATTCTTATCCCATATTCTGTAAATTCTTCAGTTATTTTCCACTGCTGGCACTTTATCTGGAATTCTAATATTGCTTTAATATTAATACTGTTATTATTTATGTTTTATTTTGTATTTTCTATTGTATTTTCTGTTTTATTATTACCGTTTTAATATTAATAATATTAAAAAGTCAAAATTAGCAAAAAAATTATGTATCTATATAGTTACAGAACTTTGAGGACAATAGCATTACTAATTTTTTTAAGTATTTCCTCTTGCTGACACAAAGAAATAAAATTTCTCCCAAATATATATGAAAAGGGAAACACTTGACAGTAGATGTCTTCATGACGATGGAGCCATGCTGATGTTTGTAAAATAAATGTTTGGTTGAAGGCATGGAAACAGTCACAACTAAAACTATGTGCTTAGCTGACAGAGTCTTTTCATGTTTTTCTGATTCTTAATTCGGAAATATGAAAACTAAATGCTCTTGCTCTTTTATTCAGCACAACTGTGCAGAAAAATCATGTCTTTCAAAAAATAATGTGACATAATGTTCTTTCAGAAATGAGAAGTCTTTATCCTATTATTTATAATTATGTGGTTTCCAGACAAAATATTTTCATGGCAATATTTTTTTCTTGGATGCAGTTCTTTTCGTAGTAAAGCAGATTGTCAAAGTGCTGTTGTAACAGGTTTGATAAGCTTGACTGTCCCAGTGACAAATGCTTTTGATATCTGAATCTGCCCTTCTATATGCAGACAAAGCTGATTTTGACATTATCTCATATGAATAATCCACAGCTTCTGTAACTAACCTCAGCATTGGAAGTGATGCACAGAAGCAACTCTGTAAAGATTTTAATTCTGCACTCATAATGGAATAATTAATATAATTTTAAAAAATTGTAGGCTTGCGATGGAAAGATGAAGGAAGAAGATGTCACTGTACTATAACTACTGTACGTGACATGTCTCACATTCTTTTTCAATTCTTTTTTGTGCTTTATGAAAGTTAGAGTTCTAACCCGGGTTTATTAGAATTAAATATTTCTTTGTCTGGCATTAACTCATATATTTAAGATGCATCTTAAGTATATATTTAAGATGCATCTTAAGTATATATTTAAGTTGCATCTTACTTTTGCTTTTCAGAGCTTGTGAAAGGCAAATTTGCCTCCTAGACCCGTGCTTCCTACATCAGTATTAACCAATCTAGGTCCTATATTAATAATTGTACTAATAAATTTGCCATGCCATTTACTGAACAACTTTTAAATAATTTTAAATTAGTAGTATTTGATTCTATCACTACTATTGGGCTGGTCAGTATCAGTAGAACAAAGAGCGTTTTATGTGTGGCATTGAACCTCTACTGTTTGAGGTAGGCGGTCTGGGAAGTGAACTTGTTACAAATTCTAAAATGTCAAGAAACCACAGTTAATCAATAGTCTTGGAAGAATCTACTGCTTCTCTCTATTTTTGCCAGTTACACAATGCATGAAGAATCACTACATCCTTTGGTTATCAGTCCTCACTGACTCCCCATAAAGATCTCCAGAAATTTCCATATTTTGTTCTATGTCAGCTTTGGAGGGGTGTGAATTACATAGTAACAGGGAAATAAATAAAACACACTGTCATCTACTGGCATATCTTCCTTCTGCGATCACTGATAATAAGCATACGGCAGAGTACTTCCAAAGTAGTACTTCTAAACGACAGTGGGACTAAGTCAGAGAACAGATATTACGCAGGGGGTGGCTGTTTCTTAGTATGTCTTTCTCCCTTTGTCTTTTGGATAGGATTGAGTATATATATATATGCACGATATTCAGCTTCAGACTGACACTCTGGTCTTAGTCAAAGTCTAAGTCCAAAAGGTAAGAAGGCAAAAGGACTATGAAAAGTAATTTCCACCTCCTGCAATACAACTTGTAGCCATCAGGGGAGCTATTAAATGTGGTAAAGACAGAGCAGCCCATGCAGCAAATGGATGGGGGGGAAGGGAGAAGGTCACAGGAAAGAGCTGGGAGAATAATGTTCTTGCCTGGGGTGACAGTGATTTAACAGGGAACATATTTTTTACTTATACTTAAATAGCCCCATTATTCATAACTATTTCCATCAAGAGTCATGACTGTCTCCAGGGCATCCTGAATTTAAACTGACCCAAATAACTTAATGCAGTTGAAACTGAGGTTTAAACCAGTTCAAGATGTGTTGTCTGAGACGAACGCAGGTAGGACTTACTACTGGTTTAGTTTCCATCCGTTTTCCTTTGCATATAATTAGATTTCTCCAATTAGGCAACAATTACTCAGTCCCTCTGCTTTTAAGGGCAGGCTTGCCTTGAGCATCTCACTGTTACTGTAACTAGCTACTGCGAGTGCAGAAGGATTACCCTGAGTGCTCAGTCTTTCTTTCCAGGCTGCACAGAAGTGTCCTTGTGACTGCAAGGTTGATAGTAAGCCAACTTCAGTTCCTTGGCCAGTGGTCAGAGTAAGATAAAGGAGTGTAAAGGCAAGTGAACATTGACACCAGCTCAGGCTAGCTTTGTTATCATACTGACATTGGATAGAATCTTTTAAAGATTTTCAGTCCCATCATTGAAGGAGAGGGTCCCAAATTATTCTATAGTTCAGTATACATTACCCAAGTAGAAACATATATTTCACTCCACTTGGCAAAATGAAGCACCATTGCAAAACTTTAACAAGTCATAAGTAACAGCATTAAACTGCGTATGACTATGATGACTTTTAAACTAAAAGTTGTCACTGCAGGATATACAATGGTGAATATTCGTTGTGATAGTCTCAGTTATATCTTGTTATATTTATCTATGGAGTAGTAGGGAAATACTGGAAAATATATTTCACAAGTCCAAAACTTGTACATCTCTGGTCTTATGTTCCCCATTAGCATGGAGATTTGGAATAGAATGGATATAAGCTCAAAAAGACTGTGATTGTTTTTCTCATTTTATCTCAAGTTTGATTTCACAAGAAAAAAAAAAAAGATACTGCGTGTGAAGAACCAAGACAAAATTATTATTTTCATACTGACACTTTCCTCTGAGGTTATAAACTATTTTAGGCACTAAATCTGCCTGTCTTTACAATCACTGCCCATACTCCAGAATATAAATATCTATTAATAAATCAAATATTCAACAGACAGCACTGTAGACCATGGTGTATGGGGAAGCCTTTCCCTGTAGCTAGTATATACACTATTTTTCATGTCCACAGATAAACAAAGCTAGTATGTTTGTCCACAGCTAGCTACTAAGAAACCCTAGATATAAAGATATTAATTCCTGTTTTAAATGGTATGTGAATTTAATTTATAAAAGCGGTACCCTAATGCCTTAGCAAGACTTTGATTCATCATTCGGCCATCTTTCTAATGCAGCACTAAATTACACCTCAAGGCATGTCACTTGGTTCTTCTCCTTGACATGTGACAGTAACTGCTACAACACATTGTGAGCTCAAGAGTTGTCCATCATTTAAATGTCATGTGACCTCAATTTTGAAGACTTTCCAATCCAGAGAAAAACAAAAAATCTAGACACTGAATTTCAAATGACAAATTAACTGGAAAATTACAGAAAAGTTTTATACATGGACATACACTGTTTCTTCATTTTTCACGTGATGCAGAGAGATGATTTCAGATTAAATCCATATAAATCTGAAATATAAATCTGTACAAAACAGACTTCTATTACAG